ATGTTACACTTTTTATCAAATTTTTCCATTACGGTAAAAAACAAAAATTATAAACTATGATATTGTCAAAAATTTTATTTTAACAATTTTCTTATAAATTTGAAATGTGCATTTTTTGTCAAATTTCTTAAATACGGACCATTTTAGAACAAATATGTATATTACAAAAATTATGGTTATTAACATTACAAACTTTTATTTGAAGAATTTTCTTTTCTTAGCATAAATAACATATATTTCATAAAGTAGAAAAACGACCCTCTATAAAGTACCCTAGATGTTCCGACTATGCCTGAAATTTAACCAGTTTACTACAGGATGGATTAAAGCTTAAATTTAAAATTTGTTGTTTTTTTTCTTCATTCGTTTTTAAGTTTTTAAATTATCTCGAATACGTTCCATTTTAGAAAAATTATGTGTAGGACAAAAATTATAGAGAATAATATTACAAGCAACTTTTAATTAAAGAAATTTCTTTTTTAAGCGTAAATAAATCTCTAGTGCATTTTGTACTCTTTTCGTGCGATGGGGCCTAGCAATGTCATCCAAGAAAATGAAATTGGCTCCAATCTCATTTCGGAAAGGATAAATAATGGGTTAAATAGTGTTTTGAATATATCTATCCTCTGTCATACTGTCTGGAATGGGAATAAGCTGCGTACAACGACTATGCATTATGCCTTCCCAAAACATTACTGTTCCTTCTTGGTATGGAACGACTTCCCTGACAGAAGATAGTCTTTCTGGTCGCCCTGGCCCTCTCCAAACTCTGTGTCGCAGTCTATCACTAATTAAACCAAATCTGGTTTCGTATGAAAAAAGGATATTTCGCCACTGAGCTAAAAGCCAGTCTCTGTGTTCTTTTGTCCACTGTAGATGAGCGGCTATATGTCTGGGAAGTAACCTGGGTAGTCCTAATGGTCTTCTAGATCGCAAATTGGCTCCAGCCAGTCTCCACCGTATTGTGGTACTAAAAATAAATCGACCATATGTTCTTCTAAAATGAGTTCGGACAGCTGATACTGTTATGGTTTGATTCCGACGTACATAACCTGCTACATACCGATCTTCTCTTGCATTAGTTACCTTTGGACGCACAGTCCCACGTCTCCAGACATCGCTGTAGGTTTCCTGATACAAACGCACTATTCAGATAACTGAAGCGTGAATAATCCCTAGTCTATCCGCGATTCTATGATTCGGCAGCCTCTTACCATGAAAGCCACTATTCTTGCTCTACTGAACACTTAAATTCTATTTCTAGGAATAATTGCAAAGAAAACCTCAACAATCACTTAAACACGCTAAATCGATATGAACCACTTTTTAAACATTGGTATCTAAAATTGTGAAAAATTAGTTCATCTTATAAACATCCAGTAAACATTGTTATAATACAAGTGTAAAGGGAGATTTGGGAATGTATATGGTATTGCCTCATCCTTTAATTTTGGTCTTCTCTTCTTATTTTGCTAACAGTACCATTAGTAAAAAGTGTCATAATATGTTCTAAAAAGCTCGCAAACAGCATCATCTCTAGAAAGTGCTTTATCAGTCCTAAGAATGATATACTGCCACTGTACTAAATATTTAGGGTCCTATAAAAATATTTACAATGACAAAATTGGGGTTCAACAAAAAAATAACAGTAGTAACTCTTCGTCTAACATTAAAACTATAAAAAAACAAATTTTCTTTTCTAGTAAGTTAAAAGAGAATGGGCAGTTTTGCCCCACTTCCCAATAGGATTAAGATACATGCCAAATGAAAGATATCGGTAAGGAGAACATTTGTTTTTATTATGACTTCTCTCAATTGTCTGTCCGTTCCGAGTTATACAGTGTGTCTACTTAAGTTGAAACCATATGGAAAACTTTTTTAATATTGGTTTTCTAAAAAGAATATTGTGATAAGAAGTTCTGCATGGTCCAAAACTTACAATGTACTCTTTAGATATCAATTTTTTTTAAGCCATAAACGAGGTTTATCAAAAAATATGAACTTTACTCAAGAGTAAAGTACCTTATTTTTAAATTACAGAAGAATGTTATGAAGTAAGGTAATTTAGAATTAAAAGTTATATCCAAATATGCAATTACAGTTATTTAGCTTAAAAATTCAGGTTAGATGATTATTTACGTTTTACCTACTTTGTAAATTATTTGTAGTTATAAATAAATAATCACCAAACCTGAATTTTAATGCTAAATGGTATAATTGCATATTTTTAATTCAAAATACCTTTATTTTATAACATTCTCCTGTATTGTAAAAAATAAAGGTACTTTACTTTTGAGGAAAATTCATATTTTTTGACAAACCTCGTATATGGCTAAAAAAAAATAATATCTGATGGTTGCATTTTATGTTTTGGGCCATGTAGAACTTTTTATCACATATGAATTTTTTCAAAAAATCAATAATAAAAGTTTCCCATATGATTCCAGCTTAAGTAGAAACACTGTATGATAGTGCATGTCACAAAACACATGTTTCTTTTTGGTAAAAATCCCTTTTGTTAGCTCTAAAAGTTCTTTTATTAGTGGGTGCTGGCATAACTTCTGTCCTCCCCAGGCTTGGCATGGTAAGGACTAAACAAACATCCAAATCCCGTGGTGAGGAAATGCTTAGTTACCAAGTTATATGATTTAATTAAACTTTAGTTTAGCTGTAATCAGTTATGGGGAAACTGTTGCTATAGAGACGCTTGTTATGGTAACGACTAAACAAAAACCCAAATCATGTGGTGAGGAAACGCGTAGTTGTCAAGTTATAGATGATTTAATTTAGCTAAAATCAGTTAAGGACTTACTATTGCCATAGATATACTTATCATAGTAACAAGTAAACAAAAACCCAAATACCGTTGTGAGGAAATGAGCACTTGCCAAGCTATAGATGCATTAATTTAATTATAGTTTAGCTGAAATCAGTTATGGAGAAACTGTTGCCATAGGGACACTTATCATTGTGATAACTACACAAAAACTCAAATCTCGAATTGAAAAAATGCATAGTTGCCAAATTATAGATGATATAATCTAACTTTAGTCTAGCTGAAAGGTATTTTTCATGCAAGCCATGTACTAGCTAGCATGAGAATTGCCTTCTACCTAATACTTTTATTTTGTATTGATATTATATTGTAATAAGTAATTAAAACGGTTGTAATGTTTAAAAAATTTCAATGTTAATACTTTTTAAATAGAAACTTTTTAAAGCACACTGTTAATTCCAAAATATTTTTTTAATTAGAGCTCCAATAGATATTGATCTTTCTGTACAAAAGTAATTTGAAAAAATAATGTCATAGTCTAGACCGACGCGTATAAGATGCCCCACCCTATATGTGCTACAAATGGCTTTAAATTCGTTCTAATATAAATGGGGTAATAATATTTATGATCGTATTATTATGTTAGTCCATTATATTGGTCTTGAACCATTGGTCCCGGTCCTTTGGAGAGCATGTGTGGGGCTGTGTATCCAACACGTCGAGGCCATTTGGTAAGCAATACACGTGACGGATAAAATCCTCGACAGCATCATATGAGATACCCGGATATTATAATTGTTTATATATTACTAAGAGGTGATAATTACTATTATTTCCCTGTAATAAGCACTACAATAACAAAATATAAGCTCTGGCCTATCGTGCAATGAGTTACATTTAGGATGGTATAACTCGGAACGGACAAGTAATTAAGATGAGTCGTAATGAAGAGAAATGTTCTCCTTAAAAATATCTTTCAATTGATATAAAACTTATCCTTATTGGAGGTGGGGCAATTTCCTATACATTTCTGCCCATTGTCCTTTAATGTGTATTTATTGTAATTCAGGATTTATGACTGTAAAATTTTCTATTACAGAAATGTGTAATTAAATAAACTACACTCCGTAAGATACGGATTGTGACTAGTTTACAATATATATGATATGTAAATAAATAATTTTACTTACACTAGGAGCTATAAAAAGACTGAATTAATTTCTCTATGGGTTTTCTTTAATTTTACATCTGATTTATATACCGTTTTACAATCTAAAACGAAGTAAATCTTGCTTTGATGTTTTTTGTCACTCATGTTACTTGTACTCAGGTACTTTTTTGCACATTATTTTGATTTATTTCACTAATTAAAAAAACACTATTTTACATTGGCTTTATCAACCATTTGAACAAAGTTAGAACGCAAATGCTCAGATAAATAAAAGAAATATAGACAGGTAACAGACTGCAGACACTGAAAGCATTTAGTAGAACAAGAGAGTTGTTATTAAGGGAAGATAGTAGTTAAGGTGATTACCGCACTCCTTATAATTATCGGACAAGGACATCTTAAAATGTAATTTTTTTAAATTAAAATTTTGGCCAAATAAATTAGGCAATATTATCTAGAATATGCATATATTTTAAAGTTTTAATTCCTTCCATTTTCCGAAAAAAAAAATCAAAGGGCTTTCAATTTTGAAATATAATAAAAATAAATGCCTTCCTCAACAGTACTATTCTTGATATAATCCCTAAATTTAAACTCTTAATGTCTTGTTAAAGATTTTTAAAATTCGCCAAAATTAGTGTCTAAAACGCCACGTTAAATGCTATCTTCTGGTGTAAACTAGTGTAAATCGTTGTAAGAAACGATTGATGACTGAGAGATTACGATACAATAACTACAGGCGCGTTACACCAGAAGGCAGCACTTAACGAGGCGTTTTAGCCACAAATTTTGGCGAATTTCAAAAAATCATTAACAATATAATAATAGCTCAAATTTCGGGAGTATATTAAGAATGGTGCTGTTATGGAATGCATTCATTTTTATTGATATTTTAAAATTTAAAACTCTCTGATTTATATTTCTCAGAAACATTACCTTATTTATTTTTCCAAAATTTTAATTTTTTAGCATAATTAGTTTTTGAAATATTCTTGTTCGAAAATTAAGGGGTGCTGTATTCACCTTAATATAACCACTGATTTCTTTTTACAGGTGGCCAAGGTACCTGGAGACAATACCTAACCATACCAAACATTTTAAAAGAGTTTAACCCCAATTTAAAAGGCTACTCAACCGGTACTGGCGAATTCCTATCGTCCCATTCAAATTTAAACGTCGCTTACCCGGTAGCCGCTGACGCGGACGCTTTACGACAAGCCAAGATTTTGGTCAAAAAAATCAAAAATGATCCCGACATGGACGTAAAGAACGATTGGAAGATGGTTACTGTATTTTTTGGCGCCAACGACTTGTGCTCGGCACAATGTTACGATAAAGTTGCTGCTGCGCCGTCTAGTCACGTGGCTAAGCTGAGAAGAGCTTTGGATTACTTAGAGGATCATTTGCCTAGGACCTTCGTTAATCTGATTCCGGTATTAGGTAAGATTTTTATTAGTTAAAAATGTATAGGTAACCAACAAATACTATTATTATGATCTTAGAGTACATAGGTATATTAAACTTTGATCAAGTAAAAGTACTACCTATCTTTATGTATTATTATATCGATGGCTAGAGGACAAATATTGTACATATATCGAAAAATGTGGTTTTGAGTAAAATCCATTTAAAAGTTGAATATGAGGAGTTTTAACGTTTGTATTAGTGTTACCATATTAACTGGTAAACTATTTCAAGTGGATATACAATTTGTCCTCTTTGCCATCGACATTATATATTTGAAGAGTATGTAGTGCCACCGTAAAAACAATCAGTAGTACAAATTTCAAGCGGTATCTTTTATCTGCACGGGTCACGGTTTTCCACAAGGAGAAAGGAGTTGTCAATCGTCGCAATTTTGCATGAAGTTAGAAAGGCGATATAAGCATCTTTTTCAAATATTCAAAACGGTACGGACTATTTTGAATCCAACCCAAACCTACATTTTTATTTTTTTTGTTTTAGAAAAAGTAAGTAATATTTATTAACACATTCAACGCCAGGGCGGACACTGGTGTCCGCTGCGTGGTCGGCTCATCACGCCAGGGCGGATACCGGTGTCCGCCAGGTTTAGAGGTTGATATTTCCTCGAAAATTCTGAATTTTGTAAATGTTTTATTATAACTTATTCTTTTTAGGCCTCTAGAATGGCCGTGGTTTTTTGAAAAAGAGTTTTGTTTAAATTTTATGGACTGTGTCCGCTATTGTGTCCACTGTGGCGTGTAAAAAAGTTTTTAAAGCAGCTAAACTCTAGGCGCCAGAGTGGACAAATTTTTTTCAATGGAAATGTAAACTACTTTTAACTACTAAAATTTTATTGTTTTATTGAAAAAAACATTTTAACATTCTATAGTATACAAAATAAAATATCAAAAAACTTATTGATTATGGTTATATTATGTACAACTAGACACAATATAACTTAAGCATTTTTAACAATTCTTAAAACAAAAAAACATATCAAGAAAATTCTCGTTATTTATAACAAATAACTAAAAAAATATATTGTTTTATAGGTACACACATTTTAACATTTTTTAGTATAAAAACAAAATAGCAAAAAAAAATTATTTATTATGGTCCACAAGGGACATAATATGTCTCGATTTGCTGCTCATTGTCACTTTATGAAAAAACAATATAGAAAACACTTGTGACGAAAAACCACTGTCAAGTGTCTACTACGCTAATTTATGCAATACTGAGCTTAGCAAGGCATTTGGCGCGCGATCCGCTTCGGCAAACAGACCTGTTACGACGTGCCCGCTGAGATATTTGTGTCCGCTATTGTGTCCGCTGTGGCGTGGTAAAATCGGAAAAATGTTGTCCGCCCTGGCGTGATGCGAGGGAAAATGCTTTTTTTAGGCATGGCGCCAGTGCGGACACCGGTATCCGCTGAGTCGCTCTTATGGGTGGCGTGCTGGGAAGTTTTATGAAAATTGGCTTGGCGGTGAATGTGTTAATTAAACGGATAATTAATGTTTTAATAACTTATTTTTAATAATTCCACCGACAGTTCCACTTATTGATAAAATAAGTCTTAAGGAATATACACATTTTACTAAAATAAGGCGGATAATTTAAAGTAATAGCTTCCTTTTATTATTTGTTCACATTAAAGGCAAACGTCTAACATCCATACAGGGATATAATGTAGGCTCTTTTAATTTTTTTGTTAATAAACGAAAATATTTGGAGAGCTTTCTGGTCTGTACACAAATAATCCATTTTTTAAAAGAATATATATAAAGTAACCATCCGTCCCGATTTAGGTGGGACAGTCCTGATTTTAAACCACTAGTCCCGATTAAATATGTGTCGCGCTTTTGTCTAACGAAAAAAATATAAATATTTAAATTTTTATGGTGTCGTGACAACTCACTCTTTTATATATATTTTTTGCTCTTTAATGCAAAGAGAATTCTTTTAAATATCTCCTTGTTTTAGATTTGTCCCGTTTTCTACTTTTTAAAATATGGTCACTTTTATGTATAACAATATATTTTGTAAATCCCGATGGCGTGAGATTTCGTAAATAAATTGAACATGCTCAGTATCGTCTGGCACACTATCGTACCTTTCTGATAAGACAAGATCTCTATAGTATCTTAACGATTCATTGATTTTGCGAATAGGACATTTCAAAAATTCGAAGCAACTCTAGAGAAATACAATTTCTACGAAAACTTTCAGATACTTCAGCATATACCTACTAATAACTTTTGTAAGCTATGGACCTATTTTCAAACATCAGATTTTCATGTGAAATGTCATATCGTACATCCGGTGCAATAACGTCATAAGTGCAAAAATCTATTTTTTACAAGCGATTTGAAAGTTTTGCTCCTCATAAACTAAAATGTATTAATATTTAAATGATTGAAAAATTGTTCATTTATTGTAGAGGTTATATTTACCTCATTGCTGTACCAGATGTAGAAGTAGAGTAGACGTATTTTGTGACTAAAAAGTCAGTTTCTAATATTTTTGCACTTATGACGTTATTGCACCGGATGTGCGATATACCAACGTGAAAACAGTGTTTTTAAAGCCAATGAGAATTCAAATTCTTGGGCTCTCGAAATAAACCAAAAGAAACAGTCCGCGAGTTTTTACTGGCTTTAAAAATACTGCTTTTTACAACGACGTATAATATTTCTCATGGAAATCTTGAGAGAAATCACTTTCTCTCGTGTTTGAAAATAGCCTCCCAGAAATTGCTGGCCGGTAGAGTTATTGTTGTGGCCTCTATGTAAGCGAAAACAATCAAAGAACAGCTCTATGTGGTCTTGAGAGATTTGGTTATTGGTAAAAACTGTAAATGTGAGTCGGTGTTAAAAATTACGTGTTTTTAAGCCACTAATATACTTATCCATGTCATTTAAAAAAATTCTATACCTTCATAATTGTTTAAAGACAAATGCTTTTTATAACGAAACTGAAGTAAATTTTTAGAATTTAAGATAACAAAGAGATTATTTATGATTATTTTAAATCTAATTTTTGCATCAACTTCAGCAAATTCTCTCATTTTTAATTCATCTTTACAAAACCCTAATATGGTTACAACACTCTCTGATTGATACGTATTCACTCAAAGCACAATTAATATTTTAATTTCCCAAATACGGGCCTGCACATTGTTTACTATGTTATATACTTACTTGTGTGATACAAATACGTTGAGCTCAAGCAAGCATTATTTGACTTCTAATGTGCAGGGCCCCCGCAAGGGTTATCGTCGCCCGCGTGCCGGAAATATTTTGGCGCCCTTTGAATATATGTAGTACTTATATAAATAATATTTTGAAGAATAACAACTTTAAGCTGTTACATATGGTTTTTAAATTTCCTGGTTTGCTGTAATATTCTTGTAGTCGTTTAACATTTGAGTGAATTGCGAAACCACATTTTATTTTAATTTTGTAATGAAACAACCAATATTTTATTCTTACAAACGAAAAAACAAACCAAACAGTTAACAAATAAAACATTCAATTATCCAAAAATTAAAAAGGTTTTTTTTTTCTGGATTTGGCTGCTGCAAATTCTTTTATAATATTCTCAAAATCAATTGTATCGAGGATCTCTTGCTCTATAGCTAAGATTGCCACACCCGATAATCTTTCTTGTGACATGGTAGACCTCAAATAATTTTTAATTATTTTTAATTTTGAGAACGATCTCTCACCAGGAGCTACAGATACAAGTAAAATAAGCAGGATTCTTGACGAAATGGTAATATTTGGTAGAGATGAAGTTAGACTGTTTTCAAATATATATTTTAAAATGTCGAGGGGATTTGACGCTTCAGGTAATGAAAACAATCTTAGGGCTTTTATCTCATTAAATAAATCATTTTTTTTTTACATCAGCCTCCTCCTTTTTCTGATCAGTTAGCTTTTGCTGTAGAGCACGAGAGCATTTTAAAAGATCCTCGTCATTTAATTTAAAAATATCACTAAAAAAACCGAAAACGTTGTCGTAATCAGATATCATTTCAAATCTACTATTTAAAAAACTTAGTGTTTGATCAATTATTTTTAAAAAGACATTTATTTTAAACGCTGTTTTTGGATCTTGAAGTGTCTCATCTCTCTGTTCATAATCAAACAGTTTTGGTTTATACTTTCGTCTAACAGCATTTAATAGAGGAAAACCTTGCTCTATCTCAAGAACGGCTGCTAGTTCTCCATATTGAGCAAGTTTTTCCTCGAAAACATTGGCATCTCTATAATTTTTAAAATGATCAACTAGATTCTTTAAATAGTTTTGGCACACTTTATTATCAGTGATTACACTTTGCATCATTTTGCTTACAATGCTAATCTGGAATAAAACATCATACAAACTTATTAAACTGCAAATAACTTTAAAAGATTGGATACTTAATAGCATAGAACTTACTTCTATGTTAAAAGTATCATTTTCTGCTATTTCTAGAAGTCTATCACAAATTTGAATTAATTGAAACTTTAGCGGCCTTATAGCATCAATCCTACTTGACCATCTAGTATCACTTAGGGGTTTTAGATTTAAATTCGGGACATGCTTTTTTTTATAATATAGAGCACCCAGTATAGTAAAAAATAGTAATGTAAAAACTAAAACATTTTTTTAAATTGACGAAGCGTAAAGCGAATAAACTATTTGAATTTAGAATTTTTTTTATGTGTCCCAATAACCGAGCCAGGACAAAAAAAAAATATATTTAAAAACTAAAATTCCTCCAGGATAGCTATTCACTAAGTCATGGGAGCGCTCCCATGGGAGTGTTTCCATATATTTTGCTCTTACTCTTAGGTGGTATATCGTGCTTACTCACTTTTAGACCAGGTACATGCGTAGTTAGGTCGGAGTAAGCACGATATACCCATGGAGGAAAGATATACCCACCTAAGAGTAAGAGAGCAAAATATATGGGAACACTCCCATGGGAG